TGCGATATTTGAAGGGTACAATCAATTACGGGATTCGATACAGGAGGAATGGCGATGCAGATTTGGTTGGTTATAGTGACAGCTCACATGCCACTGATCGGGCAGATGGAAAGAGTACAACTGGGATGATTTTCTATTATGGGGGTGGTCCGATAGCATGGTGCAGCCAAAAACAGAACACGGTTGCACTATCTTCATGTGAGGCTGAGTTCATGGCGGCAACGGCAACCGCATGTCAAGCTGTCTGGTTAAAAGGTTTGCTTGAAGAAATCACTTGCCAAAGCATGGAACCCATAACAATTCACGTGGATAACAAGACTGCAATCATGTTAATGAAGAATCTAGTGTTCCATGGGAGAAGTAAGCATATTGACACTCGATATCATTTCATTCGTGAATGTGTCGAGAAAGAGCTAGTAAGGATTGAGCATGTAAGTGGTGACGAGCAGAAAGCTGATATCTTGACAAAAGCATTACCGAGGGTCAAGTTTATCGAGATGAGGCAACTGATGGGCATTGAAGATTTGGCAGGAATGAGGACTGGAATCAAGGGGGTGAATGTTGGTTAATTCCAGCCCTGGATTTAGTTTAAATTTAAAAAATAAATAAGAAAAAAAAGGGGGCAGGCAGTTTCTAGTTACAGTTTTTATGACAGTTTCCAACAGATGTGTTGGTTAGAAACTGTTGTGTCTATTTGTAATGGTTGTGTTGTTTAGTCCTCTATTTATATGTAGGATACATAGTTCTGGACAGCAGTTCCATAACAATAAAATACTCTGTTTATATACTCCAGGTCTGATTTTCTCTCAATCTCCAGATCTGATTTTTTTTTATCTTTTTCTCTCAAGATTGAATTCTAAAAAAATGAAAAAAAGTTGCTTTGTTTTTTTAAATATAAAAAACGTTGTAGATTGAGAAAAATGGAAATAGCGATGAGAAGAGTTTGGAGAGATTAAAAAAGAATGAAGATGAATGGAGAGCAAATGAGCAGACATAGGTCTTTCCTTCCCCCCCTCCAAGTCTCCAACCAAACTAGGGGAAGAGAAACTCTCCCCTTCCTCCCCATTCACTTCCATCCCTCTCCTCCCCTCCCCTCCAACCAAACAGGCCCTAAGAAGAACTGGTCTTTGATTGGTGATGACTTTACCTAGGCAATCTGGGAGTATCTTTCCTCCGGTGAACTCCTTAAACAAATCAATCACACCATCGTATGTCTTATTCCAAAGAAGCCTACTGACCCAAAAAGTCTCCACTTTTTGTCCTATCTCGTTTACTAATGTGCTTTTCGAGGTGATGAAAAAATCCTAAAGAATAGGATGGTGCCACTTCTTGAGTGATCTGTTGATTTAGCCCAAATTGCCTTTGTGTTGGGAAGGACAATGGGGACTATATTCCTTGCCCAAGAGTTGGTTCGGGAGTATTTGAGGAAGAGAATCTCCCCAAGGTGCGTGCTCAAACTTAGCATTTAGAATGCTTATGAATTTGTGAGTTGGGCATTCCTTTATTAGGCTATGTGCGATCTTGGATTTCCTATGGACTTTGTTGATTGGGTTATGGAGTGTGTCACTACTCCGTTTTACTTTGTTATTGTGAATGAATTCTCCACGGTTTTTTTTAAAGGAAAAAAAGGTCTTTGGCAAGGTGATAATACTTTTCCTTTTTTTTGCATGAAATATAAATGAAATATATAACTTCAATTACAATCTGAAATGTGAAAAGCTCCACATTTCACATTTCACCTGTGCAGATGACTTGATGTTGTTTTGTATAGGTGACTTTTATGTTGATGGAGATTTTAATGGAAGCTTTGCATGATTTCAAAACCGGTTTCGGACTTAGAGAATTAACCCTACTAAGTCTAACATTTTCCTCGGTAGAGTTTTTTTTTTTTGGGGTGGGGGGGGGGGTGTGGAAGTG